GTATATGATATTAAGTAAATAACACACACATATATATACATACATATAACTGGATCTATAATTTAAAATTAAAAAATATCATCCGGCTTCTAACGTAAGAAAGACTTCCCAGTGGCTCAGTGGTAATTTGAAGGCTTATAACACTAAAAACCGGGTTTTGATACCCGTAGTTGGCACAATATAGATAGGAAGCTATGTAGTTTTATGCTGAACGGCAAACAAACTAACGTAAAAAGATTATTGACGCTATTCTGCTTATAAAAAGAATTTAAAAAGGCTTGTTTGTCAATGCTCTACTGAGAGGTTTGTTTACTTTCACTAAAAAACTTTTCACTCATAACACTCAGATTGTAAGTTGACACAACATGCGACTGGAAACACTAGGGACCATCAAAAATATCGTGAGACATTTATTTAAAACACTTTTTCTTATTGTTACCATGGCTGGAAACATCGTAGTCATTTATTTAAAAACATTAAGCCTAATTTGAACTTGATTGCAAGATATATGATTTCTGTAGCGCATTCATTAAAGAAGTCTTGTTCAAACTTCTTTCACAGTGGTAACAAAGTCAAAGACTAAAACTTGAAAAATAACCGCGTTTACAATAAAAAAGTATCTTGCTAATGGCTCTTTTTTTTTCTCATATACCATAGCTTCGTTCGATACATAAATTCCTTTCAATAATAATGTCGTCTAGAGAAATATCACCGAAAACATCGTCTCCTACTACGCCTTCAAACACCACCTATAAAACAAAAAAAATTAATTAAAAAATAATAATAAAGAATTTAATTCCATTTTACTGTTATTGAATTGTTCACACTCTAATGTGGATAAATGTATTTTGCAGAAATCACAGGTTTTAGGCGTTAAAGCATTAGGTAATTTGGCTTTTCAAGCGGTTCGGGTTTTCTGTTTTAAATTATAGGTGTACTCGATACTAAGTGACATACATTTGTAATATGTCAGAAGATTGAACAGCATTCAGTTTTGCTGTAAAAACGACTCGTCATAGTAAAAAATTAAAGAATAAAAAGTCACCGACTTTTCAAGCAAAGAAAACGTTGATCACTAAACCTGACTAGAAACATTAGCGGTAAAATTTGACCAGTAATTTCACTGATCATGTAATTTGATTAGAAGCACTAAGTAAAAATAAAATTACTAAAGGCAATGATTATATAATATTTGACTTGAGAAAACACCATTGACAATATTATTTGACTAAGAATAGTCACTCTAATGTTTGACCGAGAAGATTGGCTATAAAATTTGAGTAGGAACATTACTCACTATAAAATTTGAGAAGGAGTTGTGGCCATAAGATGTGACTGGGAACATTATTATAAAATATGATTAGAAGCTGTCGCCTAGAAGATGTGACTGGGAACATTAATTATAAAATATGATTAGAAGCTGTCGCTAGAAGATGTGACTGGGAACATTAATTATAAAATATGATTAGAAGCTGTCGCCAGAAGATGTGACTGGGAACATTAATTATAAAATATGATTAGAAGCTGTCGCCAGAAGATGTGACTGGGAACATTAATTATAAAATATGATTAGAAGCTGTCGCCTAGAAGATGTGACTGGAAACGTTAATTATAAAATATGATTAGAAGCTGTCGCTAGAAGATGTGACTGGGAACATTAATTATAAAATATGATTAGAAGCTGTCGCCAGAAGATTTGACTGGGAACATTAATTAT